TAGTAGTAGTAGTAGTAGTAGTAGTAGTAGTAGTAGTAGTAGTATTATCATTATTTTGTGCTAGTCCAATGATTGCATTATTCAAGTCTCGAGTGTAAAAAGAACGTCGAACATTCAAATGTATTTTTAAAGGTGCCGCTAGTGTTATTCATATATGGACCTTTTCGGTTTGGGCATAATGTTTTCCCATTTTTTCAGACCACGAGTCATTTCCAAGAGTATCATTTCTTTATTTAACAGTTGTGCATGAGAAGACACATGAATATGGATACCACTCAAACAAATAATCTTTTCTCGACGGAATGACAAGTGGTCTAAAATGGGAAAACATTCAGCCGATGTTGAATAGCTGTCATTGCGTTAATCGAGTGTTATTTATTTAAACATGAAGAGAAAAGTATTATATACGCTTGGCCGGACTAGAACACATGTCCTTGATATTCTAGTTCGATGTGTTAACCTCCATAATCTAAAAAGCAACCACGCTGCAAATGCAACCGGACAATGAAATATAAGGCAACTGTGAAAATATCTCRGGGCGATATTTTATTTAAAAAATTAAAGTTGTTATTTATATGTCTAATCTTCTGTTGCCAGTTTGCCATGAACTTAGTCACTGTGATGAGTGCCCGGGGTTCCCATGGCCTCGCTCCTGTAGAAGATGCGAGACAAGCTGGTACCGATACAAGCCACCCTACCATAAAACAATAAGATGTATTAGAACCTGTCCTCGTGGTTACCAGGCAACTAACGGCACACGCAAATTTGGACCCACCTGCAAGAGAATACCTTCATGTACGTGGAGTGTAGGACTGGTCTATCATTATTATAGTCCCCTTCATAGTTCCCTGCGCTATCTTGAGAGGTAGCCGTACCTTTGCACATCAAAGCGAGACGAACGGTGAGCTTGCAATGATAGAGACAGGAATAATTGTCCAATGTGTTAAAAAAGGTTCGTCTCGCTTCGATGCAAAGGCACGGCTACATTTCAASATGGAGCAGGGAACTGTGAAAGGGAGTATTGGTGGACGTAATGGTTTATAAACTTTGCCATTGTAATACTAAAGTACCAGCCATTTTTAATAATAGATTTTGTAATTTGCTTTATTGATTGTCCGAAACATTTTTGGTTGAYGATTTAAGTACTATCAACTCAAGCATATTTCGTCATTGTACGTTCACCTATGAATAATATTTGTAGTGGGACGCCAATGTCGTAATTTGTCGATTGCCATTTAATTAATTGAAAAAAATCTTTTTGATAACTCGGTAAAGCAAACAGACAAAACCTGCTTTCCCAATAGCTGACAAACAAATATAAAAAGAAGATTTCTTGAAGGGGAATAGGGAGAGCTGGGGCTGCCTTGTTGTCTCAGATTGTTGGGGTACATGTAACGCTGTAGCCGACATGTTGGTATAGGAAAGATATGGCCTTCAGGTTCCTTTTAGTAATGTCAACTAACCAAAATTGYGGCTACATCACTTGCTATCTGAGAAGGGTGGGGCACAGTTGAGTAAATGTTCTGTTTCGTTTATATTTAAAGTTTGCTCACGACTTCGTCACTGTAAAGAATGTCCTGATACATTTCCATTACCTCGGTCCTGTAAAAAATGCAAGGATGGATGGTATCGATACATAGCTCCTTATCAACTGACTGCAAAATGTATCAAAAAATGCCCTCGTGGTTACCAGGTGACCAATGGAACAAGTGACACTGGACCAACRTGCGAAGAAATCCAACAATGTAAGAAATAGTTCACATCACAGTTCCATTCGCCGTCTCGAAAGGTAACCGTCCTTGTGCATCGAAGCGAGAACGGCGTTCATTTTGCAATGGTAGAGACCTTTTTTAACACCTTAAAAAAATATTCACTTGTCTCTATCATTTGCAAGTACTTCATCTTCGATGCCCAGGCACATTTACCTTTCTATAAGGCGAACTAGTTTGAGTTACATTGTATGGAAAACTGCAATTTGAGARGATACATGTTTGCACGCTAAGTAACAAAATCCTTTCTACTTGTAGTTTGTCACGATATCCCTCACTGTAAAGATTGCCAAGGACCTTTCTGGCCTTCCTCTTGTGACCGATGTGAGGAGGGCTGGTACCGATATGAGAATCCTCCGAGTCAAATATCGGCCACTTGCGTCCAAGATTGTCCATTAGGTTTCCAAGCAACTAACAGCACGGGTTTATTGGGGCCGACTTGCGAGAAAAGTCAATCAAGTATGTAAATAGACGTCTTACCTATMCGACGGCCATTTTCAGTTGGATTGTTTTAATTAAGACGCTGGGGAAACTACTACAAAGTACATAAATATAGAAAGCAAAGCTCTCAGGCTGTCTTTTTTTRTAATTTCACGCTTTACAATAAGAAGCACATCTGAAAAGAATTTGCGATTTGCTTGTATTTGGAACGATACGTGTTTTCTCTTACTATAGAATGTCCTTTCATGCCTGGTTGCGAAAGCTGTCCGAAAACCAATGTCTGTCTCAAGTGTGAAGCAAACATGATTGTGTTTGAAGGCATAGTTGAATCGAAGTGCGTGTACAAGTGCCCCAAAGGTTTTGATCAAAGTTTCAAAAATGGAGTAAGTGTATGTGTGGCCGAAGGTAAGCATTATTATCGTCCTTTCTCGTCGTGCTTATTCTAACACTTCTCTTATTGAATGTTCTGCCAATCCCCCGTGCTTTTTAATTGTACACAGCACGTACGCGCAATTTCTATTTCTTCAGGAAACTGATGTTGATCTGTTAAGGAAAAAAGAGAGTGAGAGAGAGAAGATAGAGAGAGCAATAGAAAGAGAGATTCGGATCTTCAGAACGTTCCGTCATTGTAACGCAAATATATGGCAATGAAAACAACAACATCAGAAGCTTCAAAAATATGACACACCAACATAAGAGGGAWGTTCCCTTTGGGAAATACTTATAACACGGCACATGTTCCTAGGTGTTTTTTATAAGATTTCAAATGGAAGCAATTTAGACTCGAAATAAAGACTGATAACGTAAAAAAATATGTGGTATAAATATGGTCATAAACCTTCATCGTTGTAAAGATAGAATAAATGAGAATTTGCAGGGGGGGACACAACAACAACAACAACAACAACAACCAAACAAACAAAAAGGACCAAACGAAACAAAACCAAACCAAAAAAGAAGATATGCAAACGATTATCGAATAAGGAAAAGAACCTGAAGCGCCATAATGATCACAATGTTTAAAGAAAATACATCGATATTTTCTTGCAGAAGGCTGTTTTGACAAGCTGTGTTTCACGTGTAAGAAAGGCTGGTATAAACTACCGCACCAAAGAAGAGTATGTCACAGAGACTGCCCACCTGGATACTTCAAATATCTTGGAAGCTGTATAAGTAAGCCCTGCACGTTATCTTGCCTTGTAGAGTATGTATTATCACGAAACGGGTCCTTGGAAAAGGGGGGGGGGGGGGGGGGGGGGGGGGGGGGGGGGGGGGGAGTTGGGAATGGCTAGGTGGATCGAGTGGTAGCTAGATATCTCTTGAAGTTTAAAAATACTGAAAAAGACACCCTCCAGTTTTGAATTATCTATTATATGTTCGCTTTTAAGAATGTCCTTGGATTTTCACAGTGTTTTAATTGTTTAAGTTTTCATTTTGTTTACTTTATGAATATGTATATATGACGTATGTAATATAAATTTAGATACTGCGTAAAGGCGGAGCTCCCAATTGGCACATATTGAGTAGTATATCGAGAGATGTTTGCGACTTCATGTTTAGAAGAAATGGCATAATTCGAATGTTTAACTTGGAATAAAACAAACTTTCAATTAATGGAAAGTTTCTGTTTTATTTTCCCAGAATGCATATCAGGCTGCACGAAGTGTAAGAATGTCTTCAAGTGCGAGAAGTGTGACAGTGGTATGGCTAAACTCACTAGTAGTTTAGGTTTTGGCGAGCGATGTGTGCTTGGCTGTCCCCGTGGATATACAAGGGAACTGGTTAACAACACTTCTTATGAATGTCGAAAAGGTACAAACGCATACAGTCAATTCAAAAAACGTTGTCGTCGACCGGCTCAAGTCTACGCGACTGGACCGAAAGGAATATGGGTAAAAATCACTGAAGCGGTTTAAATATTCGTTCTGAATAAATTGTTCCCGCTAATAATAAGATAATAATGGCGAGAAACAATCCATTAAATGCATGTCTTTGGGTTTAAGGAAACAAAAACAAAGTACTTATTATTCAGTTCACAATTTCGAATATATGAAGGCATTTAAAAAACGTCTCCTTCAACACTTYCCGGTCGCCTACGAAGGTTCGTGCTGTAAACCAGGCATAACTAGTCAGATAAAATTATGGAGTCAAYTCGGCTTCAATGATTACTACCCAGAGTTCCTTTCGGTCCAGTCGCGTAGGCTTGAGTTGGTCGACGACAACATTTTTTGAATTGACTGTATRCATATTTCACAACAGTTGTCGGACCCAAAGGCAATATGTGATATTGTCAATCGATAGGAATTAAGTCATTGCAAAGTCCAAGAATGAGTTGGAGAAGGACTTGTTTCTTATGACCATTCATTCTCGTCAAGAACATGGATGATATAATTGATATGAGCTATCCAGTGTTATTCATCTTAAAGGCCTCGATTGTTTGTATTAAGTCGGAATACCCATAATTCATTTCCGTCTTGGAGTAACCTAATGCTTGCCTCCGACAAGCTTTTTTTGAAATTGGTTTATTAAGTTTTAACATTAAAAATGCTAGTCGTAAATGTTTTCCGGTTTTGCCATATAAGTTGGTTTATTTTCCATATAAACATCAGTATACTCTTGTCTTCTGTRCACATTAATATGCAAATCGTGAAGAACTCGAAGGTTGGACTGTAACATGATACATGACCCTACCCCCTTAAATCAAGCAGTTGTTTGGAAAAAAAACGACAAAAGAGCACCACAATATTAGTAAGAAGGCGAAGGACTCAGCTCAAAACGTCGACTAYGGTGGAAATGATAATAACATCGAACCTATCTGATTTGTGCCGTATTCATAGTGTGCAGAGACAAAAACTGCGAGAACTGTGAAAGCGTCAGTTACCATGGTGCTTACCACTGCGACTATTGCAAGCCTGGCTTCCACAAGATTCATCGAAATCTTCGTGATAAATGCGTGGGCAAGTGTCCCTCGGGATACTCTCCCGAGAAGGATGTCATCGAGGGCAGCGTCTGTAGGAAAGGTACATGGAAATTATGAATCRTCTTTATTTTAAATTCGCATGTATTTTTTATGAATTCGTAAAAGGCTTGTGCATCACACATGGGGGAATCCAGGATTTTGAATAGAGGGATCACAAAATCAAGGGGCAACTTTAATTTTTAACAATTTACAATATTCAATGTTTTTACTAACCGCTGGTAGTCCAAGCTAAAAGGTGCGCGGGGTGATCTTATTTGGAGAGACTTGAGTCGTATTCCACTTTATTTTTTCCTTTTTTTTTTACAACAAAAAACCATGCGCTTTCATCTCTTCGAGTGTGACCTCGCCTGCCTCCCAGGCCACCGTGTGGCGCACCACAGGAATCCCATCTATGGTTTACAATAATCAAAATTTTATAATAACRACAAAATATAGTTCCTTTTTAAGCTCCAACATATTGGTATTTTTATAAATTAAAGAAAACTTACATAAATGATAAAATATCTAGCAACCAAAATAAAAATTATATATAGAGAATAAATATTTTATACAATATGTAATAACAATAACAATGCAAAAATGGATACGAGGGCACAACAGAGCGAGGCTCCAAATGACGCGCAGCAGTGAAACAAAAATTGATACAGAAGGAAAGATAAACTAAAACTAATTACTAAATGAWACACGTTATCGCGACGATAAAATCTTCAAATGCATCACAAGTCAAAGCAATTTTCAACTGTTTGTTTATGCTTAAGAATACAAAAATCACTATACCTACTAACACTGGGYGCAGGTGAACAGAAAGCATTCCATCGATGCTGCAAAGTAATCATGGCCAAAGTATTATTCAAATTTATGCCTTGTAGCCTCAACTGAAGGCTTTTTCTTCGACAGGGAACTCCTTGTAAGGGAAAGGACTCAACCAGAATAAAACATTGTTTTTTTGCTTTTGCTTAGACCGTGTCGTCCAGCCTACGTTGAATCCCATCCCCCGGGGGGGGGGGGGTAMTACCACCCCAACTTGGGTAGGGGTGTGCCGCCAGGACCTCAAAACCCTGACCCTATCCCAGACCTAAAATTTTGATTTTACATACCCTACCCCAGACTAAAACTAAGAAGTATACACCCTATCCCAGACTAAAAGACGGAAAATACGGTTTTACAATCGATTGCAATYAATATTTACTAACATTTTTATTGTTTTTGGTCGGCAGAAAACGTAGCTTATTCGCCAGACAAAAACKACCAAATCGTTAACCCTATCCCAGACTAAAGTGATACCCTATCCCAGACAAAATGTCGAAAAATGATACCCTACCCCAGACCCAAAAGCCGAAAAACCATACCCTATAGGGCGGCACATACCCGTATAGCAAATATAGGGGAGTACCCCATCCCTCCCCCCCCGGGATCCCATCCCAACGATGACAACTAAAGAAGTGCCAACTCCTATTATTTGCTTTACAGAACCTGACGTCGAATCTACGTTGAATCCCAGCACAGATGATGTGCCAACTACGTATCTCATTAGATCCCAGCCTCCTCCTTGAAGAGATAAAGTTCTTGGTTGTGAAAACTTTGTAGATAGTCAGCAGAACAAAGAGTTATATTACTTACAACTTACGTTACAAAAAGGCAGTCCACTCTTATAACATAGTCTTGGTAATCTTCAACATTTTCTAAAACAAAATTAACAAAATGTTTATGAAATAATGGCATTGGATTCCAACACGGCCATTATAAAAAACAGTATTTAGTTAARACTTTATTGAAATATTTTAATATCAATGTATTTTCTAATAGTGATTTTAACGTGATTAAATTTTTAAAAAAATTCAACCACATATATCAGTAGTTGCAACAACCAGGTAGAGTGAAGTCATTAAACCCCTTGTGGAATAGATATTGGACTAATCCACATTAGTAGATCCATTGTTTTCTTTTGTGTCTATTTGACTATTACGCGTTGAGTAGCATCATCATGAAAGCTGGTAAGCAAAAATCGATGCTTCTTTTACTTAACCGCGATCTTTTGGTTATCCATATTAAGAGTTTTTTTTGTATAGAGTATTTTTACCGCAATGAAAGTAATAAAATAGATAAGCTTACTTTGTTAGCAGCAAAACAGAAAATAAGCTGGACATAAGATATACGTCGTTCTAGAGCTTGATCTGAGAGCTTGAACTCAACTATTGAATCTTTTTTTTTTTTTTTCCAGGCCCTAGAAACAACGAAACCAAACTGGCGTTAACTAAGCTAATAATTCATTCATTAAAATATTTTCATTCACATTCAGAACTTCTAAAACGAAAAGCATAAAAATTTAGTATCGATTTTTGCTTACCATATAGCTTTCATGACGATGACGTTTTGTCCTGAAAAAGTCCGGAAATCTCCAAAAATTCAAGTTAAATGAAAGACATCCATTGTAATTTTCATTAAATCTGCTATCGTGTTGAATTATCTGTAGTTATCTTTCATTTTTCAAAGAAAAACCAACCAAAAAAGCAAAAAAATGTCGACCATAGAGGACTGTGGAAGGAATTTTCAAGAACAAAAYTAGCCCTGTGGGGTCAGTGGCTGGTGGTGKGTCGTGTACAGGTTACAAAAATCCTGTGCGGGAGAGTAGTAAGGTCGAAATTCGTTCTCGCCCGAGTGCTACGCAGGTAAGAACCTTGACATAACGTGGCAGAAAAGTTTCTGCAAGCGAWACATTTTCTGCACGAAAAATTCGGYCATAGAAACATTGGAGGAAGAGCCAAAAGAGTTTAAGTAAATGAATCCCCAATACTAATATTAGGGATCATTTTGATCAAGTTTTTTGTGGAGGCCGAGGTTTAAAAGACGATGAAATCGTGGTTTAAAGTGAGTTGTTTGTTCAAATATGGCGACTGYAGTTTCCTCCMTTGTCAGAGTACATATACATAATATCAACWTCAGATACCATAGGGAAAYTATATAAGGAAAACACGTGCGCGCGCGAAAAAAATGTTCTAGTGCATTTTTTAATGAATTTTTTTTACCCTTTCGCATTATGGAGGACATTACCTTGATCTCGAATTTAAAAAATATATATTTTTTTTATTTTTCCGATTTTATTTTCACAATTCACTTTAATCTAAATTGGGCTCCCTGTGGCCTAATATGCTGGTAATTACTACAAAAATATTCTTTGTGCTACAAATAATAAATAATTAATAAATAAATAATAAAATAATAATAATGTTATGAAGATTTTAGACTATAGATATTCCGTGATGTTTCTTTATTTTGAATGAGTTTTACTCCCATCTCAACCATCACCCACAACTACTAATGCTTTACCATATCGACCCAAAGGAAGGTAATAAAAATCTATGACTTTAACAGAGCTTTSTAATCGGAGATGTTTCCATGACATTGTCGACTAACTACGATTTTGTAACTCAGTTACAAAATCTCTCAATTAACAAGATTTTTTTATTGAATAAAAAAAGACGGCCAGAAAATCGGTAGAAGCTAAATAAAAGATTATATTTTAAGATTAGAAAGACTTTTGAGATTTTCCATCCCCTACATCCCCCCCCGGTTTTTCTACTTATATCTTACAAGAAGATATAGTTCTGCCATGTAGACCAATCAATCAAAGACTTTATTTAAACAGGGTGGCCAATTAAGCTACCTGGCTGATATCCAGAGGGGCCCTGTAAACAATAAATATATAATAAACAATAAAAAAAATTAAAAATTAAAGTATAAATTAGAATAAATATGAATATTTCAAACATTATTATGACTAGTAAAATTTGATATAATTATAGTTATTAAAAAGTTATCAAAATATTAGATACCTAAAAAATGCAATATCAAACGATGTTTGAATGTAGTTAAGGACGTGATCTCCTTTATCTTCTTCATTAGTTCATTAAATTCTAGAGTCCCAGAATATCTAAATGTTTGCTTACCTTAACCTTGGCAGGTGGAGATGTAAGTCCCTTTTCCTTCTAGTATTATATGAGTGAAAGTGGCAATTCCTCACAAAGTAATCACTGAGATATACCGGAACTAAGACATACAGGCATTTAAATATCAATAAGCATTTGTGCATTTTTCTGGACTTAATTAATTCTACCCATCCCAAGACCCGCAGAGCCTCCTCGGAACTCTCCCTATTAACAATGATACGCGCTGCCCTATTTTGTAATCTCTGTAATCGTTTACTATTCCCGGCAGAAAGCTCCCCCCATGCTGTATCAGYATAGTGCAGAACAGGCTTAATTAAGCTACTGTAAACATTTCTACATGCTCTAAGCGTCAAATTAATCAAGATGTAATACGAGAAAGTACATGAACCGAGGCGCTTGTTTAGACTTTAGAGTTATGATAACAATAATTCGTTGAAATGTGGAAAGTACCCTTGAATCAAGTTTAATTCCTAAAACAAACCTTTCTAATTGTAATACTGGTCATAGCAAGCTAATCTACTCACGTTATCTGCATCTCTCGCATTATCAGTGTWGCCGATAGCTTATCTGATTATTATTCCAGTTGTGGGCACAACTGGTTATTGAGTCTAATTCATAAAACTAACAGAACTAATTGTTTCGTAATACGTAGGTAATGTAATGAAGAAAGTATCGCCCTACAACAGCTTTTGCTATCTTCGACAGGACAATTGAATGAAATCAGAAAGCCAGCGCACGCGAGGGCACACCTTAACTAAAAAAAATGCAAGCCGTTATCCTCACCTGAATTTTGTTTGGGTTTTATGGAGCAGCATAAAATTGAAAAAAGGCGGGGGAAACGATATCAGAACTTTGCTATGAAAAACTTTGTAAGTTAAATTTTACGTTGAATCATCGTTTCAGAAACCCTATCCTTATTTTACTACGTTGGCATACTTACTCCATATTAGATTGTGGTGATTATCAGTCTACCTGGTACTACAAAAATGTTTTGAATCACTTATATGTTTTAGAAAATGTTTTTGACATATTAAGAAGACCCCATTTATTGAATGCACCAGTTAATAAGCGTAAACTATGTCGGTATACACAGCAACTGAGAAAGAAAATTTTACCACTCCAGTCTGTGTCTACTTCGTAATTTATAATTTGCAATACTAGGCACGTTGCAAAGGTTACATTTTGCTTGCTACAGTGTTCTATCGATGCAGGGTGTGGAATTAAGGTCAAGAGTTTAAGGTGGAGGGGATGGTCGAAGGATARTTTACAGAACCTGTAAGTGATGTCTGATGGTACCGGTGATAACCGGTGATAACGCAATAAAGTTATCAAAGTAAAAATTGTATTTCTGGAAAAAAGATCAGATTACTGGAAAGTTACTGAAAGTGAACCAGGGTAAGTAGCTCTCTCTCTTTATATTTCCATACATTTCCCTAGATCTATACTTCTTACTATCACCAATTCATACTAAAGGGTAACTCAAGTGCAGCAGACAACTGAACCCCTCCCTTTTCGAAAACAGCAAATATTGCACAATAACACTTAATGGTTCTGAGATGTGAACACTTTTTGATTACATTCCATTGGCCATTACCGCAGTATTTGATTTTGGGGAGAATAATAGTAAAAGAGGTCGAGACAGGAAGATCAGTAAACACTAATTTTAATATATCGTTTGTTTTATGTTTAGGATGGGAATTACCATACCCATCCATTTGATTTTTGGGAAACATTTGTTCATCTGCAGGAATCCGAGAGGCCCCAGGTTCAATGAAATTCTACTGATATAGAGTGTAAACTGAACACAATTAAGATGTTTTAATTTCCTCGGATAGTACTGATAACAAACCACTTTACATCCCGTGCTAATTTGATCAGTCAGTCAAATTCAATAGCCACGGTGTGAGCCATCTCTTTGTGAATTTCACCAGGAGAGGCATGCTATGAATTTCATCAAGTAAGAGTGTTGGTGTTGGTGAATTCGTGTCGTAGCTCTGTGAGGGGCAATTCGTAACAGGTTTTTTGGATGTTTTCTTCCACTATCTGGCCGTCAGTTTGGGTTTTGATGTGTCTCTCAAGGTAAGATGTCTAAACTCTATTAGACTACTATATTCTTCTTGAGCAGCATGAATTTAAAAATAAAGCTTCAAAATACAAAACATAAATTGCGAAAGAAAATTATTTTAATATGATGTATTCCTACTGTGAGGACAATACTTTGTCAGATACTTTTCTACCTTTACGATCGGTTTGTCGTATAGATCGTGCTTTCACATACATATAGAGCCATATGTATCTACCTAACATTCTTTTTTCTGCCCCATATATGGCCGTAGCATTGGAATTTCATTCACATGCTATATTTTATAGGTTTTTTTGTATTTTAAAAAACAACTTTGAATTATTTTTTTTTCAATGTGACTTGAAGCAGACTTGGAAATTTTAAGTTACTATGCTGTTCTTATCTTCGTTAGAACAGGAAGCGTAATTACTTTAAACGTTACTCATTCGCGGTACTTATCGTTTATCAGCTGTGTGCTGTATATCAGTATGATCAGCGATATGTGGCTCTTCCTCAAACTATATTATTCATACCATTTTTTGATCTTCTTAAGAGAAAATTTATTTTCATATTTTCATAACTGGACACACACAGCGTATAAAAAAGGAACTTGGTTTCAAGGCAAAACCTATTTGAGAAAATTAGAATTTGTAGGTGTTTTCGTTTTTATTACTTAAATGATTTAGTATCTGRTAAAGCAATTGATTCTACTTGTATCATTTGGAAGAATATTTTTGCTCTGATATGGAAACCGGGCGAATTCCTCTTGGCTAATCTTAACCTTTGGACAGCTATTCAATATGGAGTTAAAATTTATCGTGTCAGTTGGGTTTTTTTCTAGTGACGGAGGAAAACCGGAAAACCCAAAGAAAAACCCTCGAATYWACAGAGAGAGGCATAAGAAAYTCTACTCGCACGTGTTGACGAATATAGGAATCGACGTTAAGCCAAAGTTTTCAAGCACCATCCTTTTCATCTTTTCTACCTTATGAAATTGTATCTACTATTTCAATAAAAAGTCTTTGCTGTAGTTAACAAAAGACGCCGATAAGAGAAAATCTTCATTGTTTATGTAAATGGCTTTCATTGTATGATGAAATAAATAAACCGATATATTAGGAATTCGGGATAGAGTCAAAGAATTAGATTTTTTGAAAAAACCTACAACCAGCTCTTGATTCAGAAAACAAACAGAAAACTCCATTCACGGCTATAAGTATTAATTAACTGCAATTAAAATGTAAGTAGTTTATAAGAGGAGCTGATCATGAAATATCGATGTTTTGTTTTCAATGTAATGTTTGATGAAGCTTTTATTAGGTGGAGAATATCATGACGGTCGCAGTGGGAGTGTAGCCAAAATGTTATTAGATTTAATAACGTTGATCCAAACAATCAGCGGGTGTAACAGTGTGGGGTCGGGCTCATTTTTTCCATCGTATTAATACTAACGAGGTGGATTCTTGTTGCCACTAAATGATATAAAGGAAAAGTATATCAACATGCCGTAGTCTAAAGAAAGAGCAATGAAGTAACTATATGTAAACGCCTCAATGCTAATTAGAATTGATATTCACGAGGCCGGAAGGGCGAAGTCAACATTTTGAATGCTTAAAGGCCTCGGCCGCTTKTTGCGAGAGAAAGGATATGCTAGCCCCAGAAATGTTTCATGAAGTTTTTCCTCTTTCTCCTACTCGCTTTTCTTTTCAAATATTCGGTGTACTAGTTTATATTTTATTTTTTTGCCGTTTGTAAAATACAGCTTAAAAGTCCGTTTTACTTATGGCCGTAATTTACCCATTTCAGATCACATGTCATTCATTTGAGTATCATGTCTTTATTTAACGTTTACGTATGAGAAGACATATTGATATGGATACAACTCAAACACATATTTTTTTCTAAGGAAAGGCAGATGGTCTGAAATGGGAAAACATTACTCCTAAGCTAAAAAGGGTTCGATTACATCAACTYGCAGCCTCGGCTGAGCAATCAATGGGCTGCCATGATATGCAACAGTTGTAGTGAGCAAAAGGTATACGATGATTTAGATCCTTACAACATATATTTTTGCGATGCAAACCACCTCACTTTTAATGTTCCATTTAGAGATTGTCCTCGTCCTTCTAGTCTAACAATTTGCTATGAACAACATACAGCAAGCAGCAAATTTTCTTCAATATTGAAGCTGTTAAGTTTAATGATGATGTACGTGGTATGACCATTATAACATTGAATTATCAAATGCCTTTTTATTTTCGAACTTTGGGCAACCCCTGGAATCTAAGTAAGGACAAGCTCTGGAGTCTAAGTAAG